AAAGGTGTTGACTGATTTTTTTACCACCAATCTATGCCAAATTTTTTTTTTAAATAATTGGTGGGTTTTTTTAACACACATAGCAATTTAAGAATACATATACTGAGAACTTTAGGGGTTACTGCCAAATAAAACAGCAATATGTGTTCAGCAACATCTCCCAAGTACAGTGATACCACCCATGTATAGGTGTGTTGGGTTCTCTGTGGGCTAAAAGACCTTATTTGGAGGGTGCGCATTCCAGTTTTCCAACTTGGAATTTTCACAGCTGGTCATCATGCACCCATGTCCTATTTGGGACATTTTTGAAGCCGGCCAATGTATTTTACCCCCCATCAAACCATATATTTTTGAAAAGTAGAACCCTAGGGTATTTCAAATGGTGGTATTGTAACACTCTCCATGCACTAATTCTACCACCAGTCTTTGTCAAACTTTTGGGTAGTCATTTTTTTGTGTTATTTTACTTTAGGCATGGATTCTCAGTTCCTGTTATGTGTGACTGTCAAAGAACACCCCAATATGTGTTTAGTAACATCTCCTGAGTACAGCAGTGTCCCCAATGTACAGGTTTTATGGGTATTTACAAACTTACAGGGGTCAAATCTAGGGCTTTCCCTTTTTCCATGTTTGCACATTGAAATTTGCCAGATTGGTTTGCTGGGCCAATGTTGCCTTTGAGACCTTATAGCAGCCCAGGAATGAAAATTAACCCCATCATGGCATACCATTTGTAAAAGTAGACAACCCACGTTATTCAAAATGTGGTATGTCCAGTATTTTAGTAGCCACTTAGTCACAAACCCTGGCCAAAATTTGCGTTTATATATTTTTTTTCATTTTTCACACATAAACTGCCATTTTACTGATTATACTATCAGTATAATACATTTTACTGCTCTAAAACATATTTGTGTAGAGTAATGTCTTCGAGTACAACAGTACCCCTCAAGTATAGCGCTCCACACAGATTGCTCGCGGGAGGACCTGGGAGCTGCTTCACAGATCCCTCCCTCTGCCTCCCAACACGGAAGCAGAGTAGGCGCCTACTCTGCATTGATGGCAAACCTATGGCCGTGTGCCCACAGAGAGGGCATGGCGTGCCACAGGTTCGCCATCACTGCCCTAGGAGATATAGCAACTGGAGGACGTCTAACATGTTTCCTCTGTAGGGCTCTCTCCCTTAACCGGTTATTAATGTCAATAAGATAATCAATAAGGTCCTCTAGAAGGACTGGAAGGTCTCTGGCTGCCAACTCATCCAGGATGTTATCTGTAACGGATCACCTGGCACCCCGACTGGGTACCTCCATTGAAGGATGCTCCTAGCGCTTCCTGAGGACTACAAGCACTGCTGCAGACACCACAACCACCGAACTGGAGAAGCATATGAATACTCTCAAGCATAGAATGCTGTAAGCAGCTGAACAGGAAAAGCATACAATCAGCTTACACTCCTGGCAATCAGCATACAATCCAATTCCCCCAATAACGAGACGACACTTCGTTTTGAGGTCAAGCAGAACTGACTGTACTGGCACATACAGCCTCTTTTATTCACAATCCACAAATATAGTACTGCCCACAGGGTTTTGAAATACAACCAATCGATGGAGCCCAAAACATGCAATAACCCCATAAAAATGGGGGCTCTGGGTGAACCACATATCCAAAATCCACCCAGATCCGTTCAGTAGTTTGGAAGATACAGTTTAATGCATATTCCGCAGAACATATACAGGCTATATGACAAATAATTACTGTATAATGTGTACCCTGTTGTATAGTTTAAAACTACTGCACGATGTCTTTGTGCACCAAATACCGGCGAGATGGCACCGTGTAGAAAAGTCCAAACAGTGTCTGTGAGTTAAAATGGCCGCCATCCATTGTTCTCACCATGTGCCTCTGATACATGAAATGGTGGCCACCCAGTAACTCCACAGTATGTCCCTAGATGGTTCTTAAAGGGCCAGCAGCAGCACAACACAAATCCATTATGCCCAAATCATGTCTTTAAAGGGCAATACATCCCAGGGAACATAGTCACATGGCAGGAGGCTGGCAATCAGTCTTCTCCAATGCCCAGTGGTGAGGTCGGTTTCGCCACATTATCATTAACCCCCTCCATGAATGCATATACTAAACCACTATTGGTCCAATCCACCTTTCTTCGCTATAGACCTAGTTCCTTGATTAATCCTCATGAGGGATTTAGCGGCACACCTCTTTCTGCCAGATGCATCAAACATCTTACGGAAATCTCTTACAAAGGTTTTATAGTCATAAACCAGATCTTTGTTTGCCTCCCATAAAGGATTAGCCCATTCCAAGGCCTTGTCGGTTGGTGCATACAGAACCCGACCATAAACCTTTCAGTGGGAAAAGACCTGGGAGACATTTCAAAGTGAAACTCTATTTGGTTTATAAACCCTCGAAAGGTCTTAGGATTGCCACCGTATCTAGGAGGTGGTGTCAGGTTTGTGGTCATACTGTTCTGACCAGAAGCTTCAAGCACCACAGGCACAGGCTGGATAATGGCTTGATTTGATTTGATTTGACTTGATTCCTTAGTGGTCCCCTATACATAGAGAGGAAACTATTTCTTTATATCTCCTGGAGGTTTGAGGGTAATATATACATAACATCACTCTAGCACGTGAGGTATATAATTTGGCAGTAGTGCTATGTATTGGAGGAACTATGTTTCTGTTTTCACCTCCACCACTTCCTTTTTTCGTTTATATATCGATACAACGCATAACCGGCGCAGGACTCCAACTGGAGCCGTATCGTATTATTGGTCACACCATTTTGTATATTCTATACCCCTACATCGTCTACACACCATGGATTATATCCTGGTGGTGATTTGACATATAAACCTTTATGTAGGTGGCATTTTTGGGGATCTCTGCATCATGTTTAGATAGCATCATGAGCTGGAGTTCAAAGTATTTATTGGTTTTTAATCACCTTATCAATATTGCAGATAATATATAGTTTAATGAGAATTGCAGCATTTGTATAGTAGAGCCTTTTTTCTTTTTTTCTTTTTCACTTATAGCTCAATTAGCCCACTTAATCTCAGTTATTTGTTTTTATCAGGGGTGTGCTCTCTGACTTGTTGTTATTTTGTAGATAGAAATCCTCCTTGCTGGAGAGCTCGTTGGCTCACAGCCCGAGCTTCCTGTTGTTAGTATATACAATACGGACATGGCGTCTGGTTTCCATGGGAATGACACGTAGTGACTTTTTGACGCTGGTCGTGATGATGTCATTGGGGTCAACTAACAACCCGTGCAGACTCTGGAAAGGGCGATCGCAGGTAGCGCTTTCTGACTTATTGGGTAAGTGTATATTGGTGATGGTATATAAGATTGTTTTTTAAGATGTTATTTTATCCTGATGAAAGTTTGGGTTACAAACTGAAACGTCGATCTCTTAACTGTGGACATTAAAAGTTAAGTTTTACTTCAAATAACTTTGAGTCCTGGGAATGCTATCTTTATGTTACTTTTACATTTTTGCTGATTAGCACCGGGCAATGACACCAGTAAGTTGGAGTGCAAAACTATTTTTCATTTGTGTGTGTATATATATATATATATATATATATATATATATATAGCACTCCCAGGACTTGTGATAAGTATAAAACTTAGCTTTTAATTTGCTTCTTCGTTATAAAATTCTTTAGATATTAAAATGTCTCTCTCTATAGGATTCTTTAGGAAGATTTTTTTAAGACATACATTTCTTTTGAATTTATTTAAATCTACATACATTTCAAAATGATTTATATGTTTACTAAGGGCAAATTTTACATTTAAATTTCATATAAAATGCAATGTTTACATTACAGCCTAGGGATACCTCCACTAACCACTCCTCATATGGCTACTAGAGGTGCTTCCTGGGGCAGTGCTGCACAGTGTGCAGCACTGCTATTCAGTGTATCCAGCCTCTGTATGGAGACAGTGAACATTCTTCAAAGAGATACATTGATTCAATGCATCTCTATGAGGAGATGCTGATGAGCCAGGGGTGAGTTTGACTTGTGCTGGCTCTGCCCCTGATCTGCCTCCTTGTCTCAGTCAATCCTATGTGGAAGCATTGTGATTGGCTCAGATCACCACTTCTGATGATGTCAGCAGACACAGGCAGTTTTAGAGGCAGACAGGGGCAGAGCCAGCAGCTTCAGACTTGAATGCAAGTAAGATTTTACTATATTTAGGGAGGCCAGGGGGCCAAGGGGGCTAGATGGTGGTTTTAATACTATAAGCAGGGCCATCTTTAATAACGAATGGACCCTGGGCAAGTGTTTGCTTGGGCCCCCTGTGCCCTGCCGCTCTCGCCCCTCACTCCCTGGTATGCAATCACGGCATCCATCCCAACGCAGTGGCGGTACTAAAGTAGAATTAATTTTATTGGGACCCCCAATTGCAAGGTTGGACTAAAGGTAGAACCCCATCTGTCGTGCAACTCCAACAATGCTTTGACAGCTGGGACTCTACCAATTTCCCATGCTTGCAGGGTTGTATTTAGCACTGAGCCATGTTAGTATGTTTGAATGTAAGCATGTGTTTGTATGGAGTATGTTTGTGTGAATGTGTTTGTATGTGGTACTGGAGTTTGAATGCAAGTGTGCATTTATGTGTAGTGTTTGTTTTTGAATGTAGGAGTGTGCTTGTATGTAGTGTTGACGTTTCAATGCAGGAGTGTGTTTTATATGTAGTGTTGAAGTTTGAATGGAGGGGTGTATTTGTATTTAAAGTTGCGGCTCAGATGCACAGGTACACACTCTGACGCACAAGCAGATACACAGATACATACACTGACTACATACAGATAAACAGGCACATACACTGACAGACACACTGACACAGGTACATATATTGACACACACACAGACACATACACTGGTAGACGTACTGACAGACATACTGACACAGGCACATATACAGACATACTGACACACAGACACATATACCGACATACTGACACACACACACAGACACATACACTGATCAACATACTGACACACATATACTGACAGAAATACTGACACCCACACACTGACAGATATACTGACACCCACATACACTGAGAAATACTGACACACACACACAGGCACATACACTGACACACACAGACTGATATACTGACACACACACACACACAGACATACTGGCACACAGACAGATATACTGACACATGCATACACATGCACTAACAGACATACTGACGCACTGACAGACATACTGACACATACACATACTGACACACACAGATATACACACACATATATACTGACACACAGACAGACAGACATACTGACACACACACAGACATGCTGACACACACACATACACTAACACACAGATACACTAACACACAAACACTAACACACACATACACACATACAAACACACAAACACATACACTAACACACAAACACATACACTAACACACAAACACACACACATACACACAAACACACATTTTTTTTTTTTTAAATGTAATCCCCCCAGCCTCCTTACCTTTTGGAGTGCTGGGGGGATTCCCTGGGGTCCAGTGGTGCTGCTGGGCTCCTGGGCGGGTGGCCTGTCGGGCAGGAAGGCGGGCGCGCGAGGGAGCACTCACTGCTTCCTCTTCAGCTCCCTCGCGCGCCTCGTAGGGATGCCGGCGCCGGAAGATGACGTCATCTTCCGGCTCCGGCATCAGTGGGGTGCGTGAGGGAGCTGAAGAGGAAGCAGTGAGTGCTCCCTCGCGCGCCTGCCTTCCTGCCCGACAGGCCACCCGCCCGCCGGGGTCAGCGGGGACCACGGGGCAGGTGCCTCGGGCCCCCCAAGAGAAACTGGGCCCGGGGGAGCTGCCCCGTTTGCCCCGCGTTAAAGACGGCCCTGACTATAAGGTCAGGAATACATGTTTGTATTCCTGACTCTATAGTGTTCCTTTAATGTTTTATTACTCAGGTTATAGATTCCTTAAGAAGCTGAGATTTCAATATCTTTCTCTATTTACTCTGTTGTATGCATTTCTGAAGAGTTCCTGAAGATTTCCTTCTTTTGGTATGTGTTTGGGAATTTTTGATTACATCTTTTTTGTGTCTATCTTTTCTCATGCTTGTCCAAACTAAATCTGATATCTATTATGCAGTTCTAATGTTTTTTTCTATTCTTTTTATAGTATCTCTATGGTATCTATGTTCATGTGGTCTTCCTTAAAGTAGGATTTTATAACCTATTTTGTGGAACAACTAAAGTCGCTTCAGGTTGGGTTTTTCACCTCTTTTGGAGTAATAGCAGAAGTAGAGATTGCTTAGTTAAAAAAATAATTTGTTACAATGATTTGAAATTAATTTAAAGGGACACTATAGGCACCAAAACAACATTAACCTTATTGAGTAGTTTTAGTATAGATCATGCCTTTGCACTCTCATTGCTCAGGTATCTGCCATTTAGTTAATTAATAACTTTGTTTGTGCCCCCCTACACCCACCTTCCTGCATGTGACTGATTTCTTAAACACTTCCTGCAAAGGGAGATCTAATGATAAAACTTCCTCTATTGCAAATTAATTTTCATTTTGAATTTCTAAAATAATAATAGGATTCTAGAGCCTTTTGTGTGTGATTAACGTTCAATTTACAGAGCAGGAGATGAACACTTCTAAAGCAAATTAACATCTAATTAAAAACGAAACCATTTTTTAAATGCAGGCTGTGTCAGTCAGAGCCAGGGGAGGTGTGGCTAGGGTTGCATAAACAGAAAAAAAAGTTATTTCGTCTATACATCAAACCTACTACATAAAGCTAAAGTTGTTTTGATGCCTATAGTTTCACTTTAAGTAAGAAAAATAGAGGCAGTGCCAATTTATTATAACCGACATTTCACATGCTTACTTTTAGAATATAATGATAGTCAAGCATAAAAGATGTGAATGTTCAATGTATTTATTCCTAAAGATGTGAATGAAAACAATGCACATGTGAAAATGGCATTGGCCTATGTGACATTGTCTTGATTAAGCGATGTTCTTCTTTTACCATTGCTGCTTGTACTGGGTGGACTGGAAAAAAAAGAGAGAACATATGAGAAACATATAAATAGCAAACACATATAATCAGAGCTTTTAAAAACATTAAGAATTGAATCCCCCTTTATTTAAGTGTTGTAAGTGTTCTGGAGGTCAATGAATAAGCACTAGACCAACAGCGGTATTTACTAAATTTAGATTTTAAGGTGAAATCAAAGTGAATTTCAAATTCAAGGTCAAAATAGCTGAAGTGGAATAAATCTCTATATCTGCTATGTTGCAGTCCAGCTACTCTGGTGTTAAATTTCAATTTGACTTTAAATTCTCCCCCTGTATGAGAGAGTTAGAATGCTGCTAATGAGAGCATGCACTGTCAAGGAACATTGCGCCCATGTTTTTTTTATATGATTTAAAGATTTTTCTTCTTCTGCTTTTTTTTCCCAGAGAATTCCTACTGGTATATTCTGACTTGGTGACATTGTGATTTGACTTGATTTATCATTTTACCCGTAAAATGAAATGTATTGGGAATTATACCTGGTTCTTTTTTTAAAATAGTATATGCAAGGATTAATTTTATTCACATTGGATTTGGGAATAAACCAGGATTACCAAGCAGTATGCAGTTCTAGAAAAGCTCGGCCAAAGGAGATGTTCTCAAGGTGAACTGAGGTATTAATTTGATACCCTGTTTCAATATTGATTGGTAGAAGCTTTATTAAATAGAGGTGTTTACATTACTGCTAGTAACACCTCTAGTGACAGTTACTCAGAGGGTAACTGTAACTGTCCTACATTCAGCATCTCAACGTTCTGCATGGACGCACTGAATGTTCCCCATAAAAATACAATGATTCAATGCATTTCTATAAGGAGATGCTGATTGCTGCAACTTGGTGTTGTGCCGCGCATACGCAGTGTCCTCTCAATGCTTTCCTATGGGAAAGCATTGGCTTAGCTGAGATCATCAAGATTGATGAGCTCAGTTATGGAAGTGGAACCAGTCACAGTGAAACTGGCATGGTGTGGGGGAAAAAGTGAGAAAAAAAACACCTTTCCGGTGCAATCGGAGTGGGGCAGGTACCTAAACAAACACACTCACTGACAGACATACACACTCATTGACACACACACTCTCTCTGACAGATACAAGTAATCACAACCGGTTATAAAAACATAGTTTATTGTGACAAATATATAATAATAATATGTAACATGCATAACAATATCAGTGAATATTTAGGTATAACAATAAGTATAAGATATGGCAACAGTTATGACACAGTAACCACAATTAAAGATAGTTTAACAGCAACGTGAGTTAAATTAATTTTTTATATAGTTACATGCAAAATTACAAATAATTCCTCTAGAATTTAATTAACAGCTATTTCAACATAGATGCATTTCAACAATGCTACAGGAATCTTTCTGCTTTAGAATTCCTTTACACAGAACGTAGCACAGAGCGTTAGCTAGAATCACACAACATTAACTCACTCATTGCTGGCTACAATTCTCACAGGCTAAACACTTTGTGATCCTTGTTTGCAGGTAGCACGATCCTCTAGGGCAAAAACATGCACAGTCCTTTGCTTTGCATATAATCCAGTCACTTTATTGTTAAATCCACACAGGATACAGCAGTACATTAAAACATAAATGTAACACAAAACCCTATAAACAAAAACCTAGCTCGTCTGAGCACTAACTTACATTAGGTTCCCTATCTCTCAGGGTTAAACTAAACAAAACAATATTGCACCAACCTTATTAGATAGCAACACTCTGCTAGCTAGCCTGTTGCTTTCCTTTCTGCACTCCCAGTGCACCAAGCCAGCCTTGCCCTGACTGCTTTCCTTTCTGCACTCCCAGTGCTCCAAGCCAGCCTTGCCCTGACTGCTTTCCTTTCTGCACTCCCAGTGCTCCAAGCCAGCCTTGACCTGACTGCTTCCCTTCTGCACTCCAAGTGCCTAGTCTCCTTGACTCTATCTGGAGAGAACAGCCTCTCTCTCCTACCTGCTTCCTGGGAGGAAGCCAGCAATCCCTCTCCTTTTCCTGCCTAGCCGGGAGGGGTTTATTCCCACTGCAATAGCTCATTAACTGCAGCTGAGCAGTGGGTTGGAGACGATCCTCCCCAGCTCAGACCCATCGGGTTGAGCGGCCTTCAAACACAAACCGTGAACTTTCATAACACCTAGGGCTCTACCAGCCCTGACTAGCTTCTCAGTTACAGGAAGTGGCCTATTGTAGATGGCGGCTACCTTGCTCCCTGAATCTATCAGTGCTTGTGCACTCTTCCCTACCACCATCACCACTTTTAGCTGTGCTGTAACACCACCACCAGTCACCATACACATCTTTAAGCAAGTCAATACAATCCTATACAGAGCCCTTATTACTATGTCACATTGTATTGTCTCTTCACTCTCAAGACAGCTATATGTAATATGTCCATGCATGCGGCAGTTGAAGCAGTTTTTCTCAGTCTGGTCTCGTAGCCAAAATAGGACTTTTAGGTACGTTCTACCATCATAGGTATATTGTCCCAGACTTTGTCCTTGCTTTCCAGTTTCCCCACTTATCTGGTTGCTAGCAGATCTAGGCTGAGGATCAGTACTGTGTGGCTCCTTAGTAGCCAAGTTCCTCTGAATCATCATCAACTGCTTCCACATCCACAGCAGCTTCTGATTTGATAATCTCTCAGCATTAGAGTAACTTTCAAAAGCAAACTTTGCAAAGGCTTGGCGTGTAGCTATACGTCCAATTCCTTCATGAGCTGAATTTTCCAGGTGCTCAACCTCTTCAAGACCTGGTTCTGTCACCAGCTCATCCTTCACTGGAACAAGTTTCTCCGCGAAGGGCTCCACAACATCCTCCATCTGTTCTGCAAATCCCTGGGAACCTGCCTTGCTCCCTATGGGGGTGTCCAGAGACGCAGTCATGGCCTCTCGCTGAGTCATTACAGCCCTGGTATCAAACAGCCGGTCAGGCATTCCGAGTCCCGCCTTTAATTCCATGACTGTCTTCCCAGAATCTGGCAGCTGTTCCCGGTAGTCAGTGCGCCCAGGCCTTGTAGCAGTAGTCTTTGCCAGCAGATCTAGTTCTACGGCTCCTGGACAATCATTCAAAGTCTTTTTAACAATACCAGGTGTCTCTGAAATATTTTGTTCTGCTACGCCAATGTCATCTACTTTGTCACTTTCGCCTTGGTCAGGCTTAGGTGCGGACGTGCCTATCTTATCACCACAGCTTGGTTCTGTAACTGTCGGTCTCTCTTGGCTTAGATCAGAAGCGGCTACTTTGCCTTTCTTGTTTTGATTTAATTTTGCCACTACTTCTCGGCCTTGCTTTTCTCTGCCAAACTGTTCAACAGCTGGTCGACATTCTTGGGTAGCCTCAGCTACTAAACAGTGCACCGCATTGTTATACTCCACTGGGGTGCCTTGCTTCTCTCCATTTTGCTCAGCTCCTCTGCTGTTGTCTTCTCTGACTCCCCAAGTCAGTCTGCTTTTCGTGCCTTTGACTTGTTCACTTGGGTGTACATAGGTGGCTTCTGCTTCATGTTTCTTTCCCAGGCCGTATACACTAGCTTTACTTACACCTTCTGGGTGGTTTTTGCTTACCACCAACTCTTTTTCAAAGACCTCTTTATCACTACTTTTAGGCTCAATTTCATCCTTCTTGCCTTCTAATTCCTGTTCTCTCTCTCCTGCGTGTTTCTCAACAGCACGCTTTGCTGCCTCCATGCTTTTCAGCTTGCTGAAGACTTCTTCTACTGCCTCTGTCATGCCATGCAGGATGTCAGTAGCTTGGTTACAGGGTCCCTTGTCCTCACGCTCCCTGCAGGGGGCAATCTGCAAAACCTCAGTAAGGGCAGCTCTATGCTCCTGCTGAGCGTCCCTCAGGTTCTTAACCTGTGCAGCCAGGAAACTGTTTGTGCCTTGTTGTTTAGCCGTTGCCTGTACCACAGCTCTCAGCAGGTCCTCCATTATAGCACCAAGCAGGTAACAGTCTTAAAGGTACAGTGCTACTTGTTTGCTTAACAGGTCTGCAAAAATAAAAGTCCTCAAGCAGACTACCGAATGACTGGCACACCCACAGACCCTCAATGTGCTACTTTGCCCGCATTCTCCACCATATTGTGATCCTTGTTTGCAGGTAGCACGGTCCTCTAGGGCAAAAACATGCACAGTCCTTTGCTTTGCATATAATCCAGTCACTTTATTGTTAAATCCACACAGGATACAGCAGTACATTAAAACATAAATGTAACACAAAACCCTATAAACAAAAACCTAGCTCGTCTGAGCACTAACTTACATTAGGTTCCCTATCTCTCAGGGTTAAACTAAACAAAACAATATTGCACCAACCTTATTAGATAGCAACACTCTGCTAGCTAGCCTGTTGCTTTCCTTTCTGCACTCCCAGTGCACCAAGCCAGCCTTGCCCTGACTGCTTTCCTTTCTGCACTCCCAGTGCTCCAAGCCAGCCTTGCCCTGACTGCTTTCCTTTCTGCACTCCCAGTGCTCCAAGCCAGCCTTGACCTGACTGCTTCCCTTCTGCACTCCAAGTGCCTAGTCTCCTTGACTCTATCTGGAGAGAACAGCCTCTCTCTCCTACCTGCTTCCTGGGAGGAAGCCAGCAATCCCTCTCCTTTTCCTGCCTAGCCGGGAGGGGTTTATTCCACTGCAATAGCTCATTAACTGCAGCTGAGCAGTGGGTTGGAGACGGTCCAAAAAACCCTGGCCTGGATCTATGTCTCCCCAGAAAACCACTAAACTGTGGAGTGGAGCATTGGCCCACCCTTCTCTCCAAATGCTCCACCCCAGGGGCCCATAACTAAACAGAGCGTTGGGTTGTGCAACACACGAACTACACGTACTTCCCCTGGGGTTAAAAGGACTATCTGCCTTCACTTTATCACAACTTGAATATTGCAACTCAAAAGTTACAATGTTTCTCACACATATAGTCAATTTCACTATTTTCTTCCATCCGGTAACCAAAAAGAATAATTCTAACAGTGTTTTACACCGCAGATACTTTCTGATTAAAGAGTAACGATCCCTAAATTCAGATTGCTCAGTATCTCTGAATAATAGCTTGATATGCTAAACTTGGCAAATAACAGTAAATATATTATTCTTTATATTCCATCTACAGATATGGGATATGGAATTATAAATTTCTCCTCCAAATATGATTTTAAAAGTTTGAAATCGGTTCAGCATTATCCAGGTAGATATCTGTTTTTAGTAAAAAAAATATTAATTTATATTAAATTAAACCAGCATATTTACCAGCTTTCTTAGTAGAAAATTATTTAGGCTTGGAGATATAATCCCATGAATGGTGAGTGCAGTATTTATTTAAATAGAGAGATTGAGTTGAAATATAGAGATATTTCTGTATGATTTCTTAGGCAGAATTGATTTGGCTAACAAAGAAATTAAATTGGAAAGGTGCAGAGTAAGTTTTCAAAGTCCAAGGACTCAGTTGGAAAAACAGAGTGTTAGGTGTGTCTAGAGTGTTTTTCTTTGTCCGATCTCGTCTGATGATCTTACATCCAACCCTCTGATCTCATCCTGGAACTCTCTTTCCTTTTTACCTCCTTTGTTTCCATTTTTTAAAGGATTTCTTATCTTAAATTTTTGTACATCACTAATTTAAAGTGACCAATGGGAATAGGTGGGTGAACCTTCTTGTACTGATTGGTTTATTGACATTGATCAGTAGATGGCCTTATAGCATCACAATAATTTCTCACTACAAATTCCAACTACCAGAGGTTAATTGAATATTGTGATGCATATGACGTTTCAAATTTCTTATCGCTATGGTGCAAGCTAGCTGTCAAACTTCAAGAGCTTTTGTGAGACTTGCAGTCTCCTTTTCGTGCCATAAAGTATCTTTTTTTGGACTTTGGTTCAACTCACTCTTACAATGGGGTTTTGTAAAGATCCCATTGAATTTGAAAAGTAAAATTAATTACTATGGGAATATTTCTTCTTGATAATTCTATCCGTCTGGTTTTCTCAGTTACACTGTCCTATTGTATGAAGCTAATGTGTCTATATTAGTAATATGTGACAATGTGTGATACATACATGTCTTTTAAACACATTCAGCTAATATTAGTTTTAATAATATGAGATTTATTCATTAGATTCTATTTATAAATATTCAATATTATTATTTTTTTGTAAATTCTTTATTTTGTCGTTCAGGTGAGTACAAAACATATACATACACCACAACAGCGTACATGTGCATAGAAACAAGTTGAATAATGGTACAAATAATGAGCATTAGTGTCTTTCGATCACGTGACATTCGTCAAGCGTCATAACAGCAGTCATTAAGATGTAGACAGGTTTAACAATTGTAGGTGAGTGCGTACTTCTGAAGCAGAAGCAAATTCAATAATGACAGGCTGAGTAGAAACGAGAGGTTATATCCTTACCATACTATAAGGTTCTGCTGTAGAATTAAGCTTACTGGCCTGACGGAAAAAACAAGGTAGTAGCATCAATACCAAAAATATGTGACACGTAGAGCAGAAAAGCATTTGCGTCAATAATTAGAGACACTTGACACATAGGCTATTAAGCTTAGTATAGGGAATTATTCGCTTAACTAATTCTATTGTTATGGAATCAATAATTCGGGTTCCAATTTCTTACATGTCACTGTTGAGAAAGTGATTCCCCAAATCTTAGTTTTAACCTGGGATCTCCTATAGAAAGTAGCCCCAAAGGTAAATTGTGTAATAAATGTTAGCTTGACTGTTTCGGTTTGTTTGTATATCCCTCTGGTCAGGTGTATGTTATGTCTGCGTCCAGTCGCCCTAATATGTCATGGGGCAGATGTTTAGTTCCTATCCTCCCGTCAGTTAATTGTGTCTTACTTTGGGAACTAGTTCTCTATGTGTCTGGTCCCATTCTACCTCCATCAGTCAGCTGTTATTTAAGTCGATGACTCGTATCTACGGAAGTTGCTTCGTGTTATGGCTATATATCGTGTAACGGCTCGCTCGGGTCCTCCTGGCTCCGGCCTCCTCGGGCGCAGGTCAAGCCGCTTCTGCGAAGACCCTCAGAAAAGTTACGTGGATTTGATTAGATGCAGTGGGTAAAAGGAGGGAAGGGGAGGGGGGGAGGGGAATTTGAAGGACAACATGTGTCGGGGTGCGCCGGGCACCCTCAAACCCCAGGTGTTATGGTGTGTGCTATGTCTCCCTAGTTCCGGGACGTGAAAGGTAGACATACCATGGGGTCCAGATGTCGACGTGTTTGGTGCTTCTCCCTAGTAGTTCTGCGTACCGCGCCTCAGCTGTGTGCATTTCCTCAACTTTCTGTAGCCACTCTGTAACAGTCGGTGGTTGGGTCTGTTTCCATTTGACTGGTTTAGATGCTTTCGCTGCGTTAAGCAGGTGCCTTAATATTGATCGCTTGTATTGGGCTATCGAGCCTTCCGTGTAATGCAGTAGGGCCATTTCTATGCTAAAGTCCGGCAAGTCTCCCAGGATTGTCGTCATTTCCCTTTGTATGTCCTCCCAATATGGCTTAATCAGTGCGCAGTCCCACCAGATGTGCCGTAGGGTGCCTGTTTGGGATTCACACCTCCAGCATGTATCTGTGGTTCCCCTGAATATTCTGTGTAGTAGAGATGGGGTCCTGTACCATTGAGAGATTAGCTTAAAGTTGACCTCCTGATACCTGGTGCTTATGGAGCTCTTGTGCTGTAATATTAATATCTGTTCCCATTGTGCCTCAGTGTATGTCCTAGCTGTCAGCTCTTCCCACTGCCTCTTAAACGCATTTTTACGTGTGTGGTCTCCCGTTATTAATTGTTGGTAGATGAGCGATACTCTACCGTCTGCGCCGGTGTTGGTCATGCAGAGGCGTTCGAACCACGTCTGCTCTCTGTGTATCGCTACCCTGTTGGGGAGGTTGAAGTAGAAATGCCGCAGTTGTGCGTAACGAAATCTGTGCATCAGCGTCTGTTGTGGCGCCGCACTCCACTCTCGTAAATTTCTCAATCCTGTATTGCTCAGGACCTCAGACATCGGGATATAATCTCCGTCTCCCAGGCCGATCGGTGCAGCCCCCCACCTATCGCAGTATTGTGTGTTATCGGGATCAATGGGCTCGGTTGTGGGGAGATACGTTGATTCCGTCTCAAGGATGACCACGTCTTCAGCGTTTGTACAATGGGTGATTCATTGCCTAATTTTGATGCCGCGTCTGCTGAGCCTTGCCATGTATACATGCTGAGGGCTTTGTTTGTGCTCTCCCTATCTAGTGCAGCCCACAATTTGTTTTCGGACGCTGCGTGCCAATCTCTTATCCGCTGTAAAACCGTGGCCTGGAAGTATTTGCGGATATCGGGTAACGCTAGTCCGCCCCAGTTCTTAGGTAAGCATAGCTTGTCGTAGCTGAGTCGTGGTCTCCCTCCTTTCCAGACGTATTTTATTACTGCCGATTTAAGAGTTGCAAAAAATACTGGTGGTATGTGCCAGGGAATGGTGTTAAAGTAGTAAAGCAGCCGTGGTAGGATATTCATTTTAATCACCGCTATGCGTCCCTGCCAGGATATGCCATGGTTCCAATTTTTGAGGTCGAGAAGTATTGTGCGTAGGAGGGGGATGTAGTTCCTGGTGTATAGCTCTTTCGGGTTGCTGGGTATCCAAATTCCCAGGTATCGCATCTGGTCTGAGCACCAGTGGAAGGGATATTCGCGTGTGATCCGCTCTCGCACTTCTGTTGGAGTCAATATGTTCAGCAGTTCGCATTTAGTTTGATTAAGCTTCAGCCCCGATATTTAATATTCAATATTATTAACATGTTACTATCTGTATATGATTAACCCTTTAAGGACCGGACTGTTTTTGCGATGTTGTACATTTGCGACCAGGCCTCTTTTTACACTTTTGTGGTGTTTGTGTTTAGCTGTAATTTTCCGCTCTCTCATTCACTGTTCCCATACAAATTATATATTGTTTTTTTCAGGACAAAAATTGCTTTCTTTACATACCATTATTTATATAATCTCATGTAATTTAATTTAAAAAAAAAAAAATGAAAAATTGAAAAAAATATGTTTTTTTTACTTTTACTTGAAAAATCTTTTACTCGTCTACAAAAGCGAATGAAAAAAACTTCTAAATAGATTAAAAATTTTGTCCTGAGTTTAAAAATACCCAGTGTTTACATGCTTTTTTTTCCAACACTATTATCTGTCATAAATCTCTGAATAACGCCCCACGTGAACATATTTTTTTAAAGCAGACAACCCAGGGTATTCAATATGGGGTATGTCCAGTCTTTTTTAGTAGCCACTTATTCGCAAACACTGGCCAAAGTTAGCGTTCATATTTGTTTGTGTGTGAAAAAAGTAAAAAACTAAATTGAACATTAATTTTGACCAGTGTTTGTGACTAAGTGGCTACTAAAAAAGACTGGACATAACCCATTTGCAATACCTTGGGTTGTCTTCTTTTGCAAATGGTATGCCATCATGGGGGTAATTCTCATTCCTGGACTACCATATGCTCTCAAAGGCAACATAACCAACCTGGCCATTTTCAATGTAAAAATATTTGACCCATATATTTGACCCTGTAACTTTCAAAAACGCTATAAAACCTGTACATGTGGGGTACTGTTATACTCGTGAGACTTTGCTAAACACAAATATTAGTGTTTCAAAACAGTAAAACGTATCACAACAATGATATCATCAATGAAAGTTCCGTTTGTGTGAGAAAAATGCAAAAAAATCACTTTCACTGACAATATCAACGCTGTGATATGTTTTACTGTTTTGAATCACTAATATTTCTGTTCAGCGAAGTCTCCCGAGTAAAACAGTACCCCCCATGTACAGGTTATAGGGTGTCATAGAAAGTTACAGGGTAAAATATAGTGCTAGCAAATTAAATTCTCTGGACTTTCGGCCTGTGTTGGCAGGCAGGTCCCTTAAATTGAAATCAATAAAATTACTTAATCTAAAAATATTACATAAATACGCACGTAGAATTTAAATATGTATGCATATTTATATATTTGAAGTCTACATGTATATTTATATAATTATGTAATTTTGTATATGGACATATGTATATTTTGTATTATTTTTATTTATTTATTTATATATACATAGATATATATACAATTTCATTCTAAGTGTATTTTGATATAAATATATAGATATATATATATATATTTATATATATATATAATATCAAAATACAGTTAGAATAAAATTTCATATAGATATATAATTTTTTTAATTTGTATTATTTTTTCATTTAATTTAAATTACTTATTTGTATTATTTATTTATTATATTATATATTATTAGTTATTATATATATACACGTGTGTAATTTAATTATAAGTGTATTTTTATATTAATATATGTACATATTAATATAAAAATACACTTAGTATGACATTATATATATGATATATAGACATATATATATATATATATATATACACATATATAATTGTGGTTTTTTTTTTATTAACATTAACATTTTTTTATTTTACACTAGCAGGGAGACTGCCTGTCAGCACAGGCAGTCCCCCTGCAGGGAGACACATGGACACCTATTGTGACCATGTGACAACTCTGTTGAGCGATCACATGGCCCCAGGGGTCCTAATCCGCCATGGGGAGACTGTCTAGGCTGCAGGCAGTCTCCCCACACCGGGAGCACCACCAATCGCCGCTGCGGGAATGACGGCGATCAGGTAAGTACATAAGGCCGTTGTGACGGTTCAGGACCATCAGCGGTCGGCAACGCTAAAATGCCAATGACGGTCCTGAACCGTCCTCGGTCGTCCTCGGTCATAATATAGTTAGTATATATATGTATATGTATGTATATATATCTGATTTGATATATATGTGTGGGCTGGGCTCTCTACCCCAATTGGGTTTCTTGTAAGAAGATACCTTATGTCTGGTCAGTGTTTAGATAGTCGCATTTCATAGTTTGCTGATGCAGTGAATGGAGAGAGAAAGAAACAAAATGTGCTTGTCTTTTGCATTCTGTTACAAAAGGGAGTCACATTTGCTAAGTAGTGACTTAACAGTATACATTTTTAATTTCAATCTTATCACAAAATATCTGACAACAACATACCTGACAAAAAACACTCTCTCACAGATACACACAAACACTCACTGACAGACACAAAAACACACACACACACACACATTCACTGACAGACACACACATTTTCTCACACACTCAGAAATTGATATTTTTATTTTTATGTATGTCCACCCAGGCTCCCTATCTTTGGGAGAGCTGAGTGGATCTTCCCCTGGGGTCAAGTGGGGCTGCTCTCTAATGTTCCTGCAGTTCCTCTCTGCTCCCTTGGCCGCTCTGATGCTGGGGCCGGAGTGATGTCATCACTAAACAGCACGAGGGAGCAGACAGGAGCTGCAGGAAGATTACTGCTACCTTGCGTGCTGTCTCCTTGCTGCTGGGGCAGACCCCCTCTATGTTCCCAACGGCGGCCAGCTCCAATGCTACCCCAGCGACCGCCTTTGCAAATCCCACGCGCCAGGACTAAATTTATAGTTGCCATGGTGACCCGGGGCCTGTGACTTGTTGAGCCCTGGTTTAGACTACACCAGATCACTACCATTGTACAGGGTTTCCCACAGTGCCCCTGTCTTGTGTGGGAATTGAGCTTTGAGGAACTATGTCTTGGTACCGATTCTCTGGAGCATGGGATCTCTTTTCTATACAGCACCCTTCAGCACCAAAGTAAATACCTTTGCCTTGAGTTGCAGAAAACAACTGCTTAAAAGCACTTAAGACCGATAGGCTTGGCATTAGCACACAATGCTGCTACACACAAACACTATAGCGTTAAGAATACGAACATGTATGCCTAATGCTATAGTGTTTCTCTATGTATATAAGGGTTTCTTATGTAAGTGTCCCCCACCCCCCAAGCTACTTACCTTTTATCCCACTGCATACTGGTTCTGCAGAATAGCAATATTTTCATTTACAGCAGGCTTTTCCAAACTCCAGTCCCCCAGATGTTGCTGAACTTCAACTCCCATGATTCTATGAATGAAATAGATAGGCTGAGAATCATGGGAGTTGTAGTTCAGCAACATCTGGAGGGGAAGCCTGATTTACAGGGGTAAAAAGACAGGGATATTGATATTAAGTGGTCTGTGCGCCTTTAGAGTCCCGTTACTGCTGAAGCAACACTTAAAGCTGATTTTAGATGTATCTAAAACAAATACATAATTAAATGCATCAAGTTTTCAATTGAGGTATATCCACTAAACAGTGATTCTTATTTATTTTGTATTTGGGTACTGGAGTGTCCCTTTAAGATCTTATTATCCTTATATTACATTGTGATACTTACATTATACCTGTTATCCTGTTTTGCTGTGTAGTCATCATATTCTCTTGAAGGCTTAATTGTTGTTGTTGTTGTCTGAACAGCTGCTTAAAATGTACAAAACCATATTTTTTTAAACTGCTAATGTGTTTTTCATATGATTATTTTCTCTTATATAAAATTATAATATGTTAACAGGTAAAAAAAAAAAAAACCATTGTGTTAATGCCCAGAATTTAGGTTCAAATGTCAAAAAGTAACAAAATTCCAAACATAAATTACCCGTGCTTTGCATGACATCATTAATGATATCACTGACTACATTAAGGATATCACTGACTACATCACCAATTACCACTCTAATAAAATCACCAGTGACCTAATGATATCAATTATGACAACATCAAAGGCATTGCTAGTGATATTGCCCATGGCATCATCCTACAGATCAGAGAAAATATAATTGAAAAAAAAAGGTATTAGAATTATTATTTTAGATTACATCGCAGATGACAGAGTTAATAAAATAAAAATATATCACCAATGACATTATTAATGGCATGAGTATACATTATCCTACTGATTAGATAAATAACAAATAAAAAAAAATACAGCATGTGTAGAAATGTAGAGTTAGGTCTCGAAATATTTGGACACAGGCACAATTTTCAGCCCTGTCAAGGCCCTTTCAAACTAGTCTGGATAAATAGTTTAGTTAATAAAAAATAATTGGGTGGATTTTCGAGACAATACTGTCAATTTGTCGTGAAGTCCTCACATTTGCATATTTGTTACAATTTTTTTGTGATGTAACATGACACTTGCAAAAATAAAGATTTACAAAAAAAAAATATAGACCCGTCAGCCTAACTTCTGTGGCTGGGAGAGTATTTGAAGTGTTATTAAGGGATCATTTTCAGGAATTTATTGGGAAAAACATTGTTATTAGCAATGATCAGCATGGTTTTATGAAACATAGGTCATGTCATACTAAATTAATTACATTCTACGAAGGGTGTTGTAGTGGATGTGTGCTGCTTTGGTTTTGGATTTTGACAAGGCATTTTATATGGTTCCACACAATAGGTTAGAGTTATAAATTGGTCTAGATAAAACTGAAATCTACTGTAGATCGATTGGGGGACTGAGCACTCAAATGGCAGATGAAATGTAATGTAGATAAAAGCAAAGTAATGCACTTCAGGCGTAAAGAATGCGCAATCAACATACATCCTAAACAGTAGTGAATTAGAGAAAACAACACATGAGAAGGATTTGGGAATTGTTATAGACAACAAATTAGGCAGCAATGTGCAATGTCAATCAGCAATTGCTAAGGCCAGTAAGGTATTGTCATAAATAACAAGGGGCATTAAATCTTGGGATGGAAATTAATAAAAGGAATGATTATTACAACTTACAAAAGTCATTGGGAAATTTTCAACCGTCTCGGACTACAAACTAAACACGGATAAAACAATATTTCTGGCTAGCAATATCACCAAAGAAGAAAAGAATGAGGATCAAAAAGAGGTTGGATTTTGTCTGGGATGAAAATTTATTCAGTTATCTGGGAATTAACATTTGTGCAGATCCAAAGAGAATAATGGAAATGAATCTCCTCCCATTATTTACTAAAATTAAAGGGACACTATAGTCACCTGAACAACTACAGCTTAATGTATTTGTTCAGGTGAGATCTATAGCTCTCTGCAGGCAATCTAATGTATACACTGTATTTTCAGAGAAAGGAACAAGGGAGCAATGATGCTTCCAAATGGAAGCGTCTGATTGCTCCCTGCTCGCGCCCGCCTATTTCGTCATTTTGACGAAATAGGGGACGCGGCTTCACGAGGCTCCCGGCGCTGGAACCAGGTGAGTAAACTACTCTGCCTGGAGAGTCCCTTTAATTGATTACTAAAGGAGTGGAAGTTCTTGGTGGGGTTGAATCAACATTATCAAATCTTGTATTTTGCCAAATTGTATTTGTTTAGAATGATCCCTTTGAGTATCCCAGACAGTTGGATGACAATGATTCAGCATTCATTTTCTAAATTCATATGGCAAGGGAAAAAACCTAGAATGGCAAGCAAATACCTCTCTATCAGTAAATGCCAGGGAAGAGTAGGTCTTCCAGTAATCCATCAATATCATAAAGCTGGAGTTCTTTTCCACAGCATTATTTCACAAATGTCTGTGTCCAAACAAGAAAGGTGGTATGCTGTGGAAGAGAAAATTACTGATTTCAAAGATTTTGCAATGTTTTTTTGGAGGACTCAAGATAGTTATACGCTCACATCTCAATCAAGCTCTGGCAGCTTAGTAATAAAATCTGTTCTTAAAATATGTAAAAAAATAAAGGGAAACACAGAACTCAGAAGTCGTATTATTAGTGCCTTGCCGATTTCAGTCCTCTGTTATAATATTCAAGATTTAAATCTTAATAAATAGAGCAACGCAGGCATAAAAAGATTTGAGGATATAACGATGGGGCCAAGTAATAAACCGTTTAAACAAATACGTACTAAATTTGTCAAAAACTTTTTGAATAACTTTCTACCTAAAGAAAATTTTGAATTCCATAACAGTCTGGGATTCTTAATAAAGGGAAAAGATATGAAGAATCTGCTAAACAAATGTAACTCGTTACGGAAATGCTCTGATGCCAATATTATTTTTCCTGCTATGGAAAAATGAGACAAGGACCTAAATAAAAAGATCCTTTTACAATATTGGAAACTGTCTTGGACAACAGTTTCTAAATCTATCAACTGTTTAAACTTAACGGAATTACATTTTAAGATCCTTAACCGATTATACCTGGTCCCTAGTTGACTTATTAAAATGAATCAGAGTCTATCTGACTCGTGCTGGAGATGCAATTTGGAAAAGGGGGATTTCTTCCATATTTAGTGGAGTTGTTGCCCATTGCAAGGGTTTTGGTGGAAGTTTTTGGGCCAGATTAAACTGTTAATAGGAATTAACCTATCCTTTTCTCCAGAAGTGGTCATGCTACATTTTATTATTATTACTATTATTATTTATAAAGCACCAACAAGTTCTGTAGCGCTGTACAATGGGTGGACTAACAGACACATATTTGTAACCAGACAAGTTTGACGCACAGGAACAGAGGGATTGAGGGCCCTGCTCAATAAGCTTACATGGTAGAGGGAGTGGGGTATAGTGACACAAAAGGTAAGGATAGAGTAGAAAAATAGGTTTCTAGGATAGTTTTTATTGAGGGCTTAGTGTTTTGTTTTGATTACAGTTTCAGGAGAGGAATCAGGGTGCATGGAGGGAAAGCTGTTCACAGTTTAATTGATATGCTTTTCTAAAGAAATAAGTTTTCAAAGATTTGGAGATTGGGTGAGAGTCTAACAGAGAAAGGAAGGGCATTCCATAGGAACAGTGCAGTTCTAGAGAAATCTTTAAGGCAAGCATCAGAGGTAGGAGTACGAACAGGCCTTACAGGAATTTAGGGCGGCCTGGGGGGCAATTGCCTCCCTGCCCCCCGGCCCAGCCCGCCCCTGGTAGATGGGAGCAGCATTGTATAGAGATTTGTAAGCAAGTGTCAGGTTCTTAAATTGAGCCTTATATATCTTACAGAAAGCCAATGGAGGAGCAGACAAAGGGGCAGGCGTGCTCAGACAGGAAGATGAGCCTCACCACTGCATTCATTATAGACTGTAACAGGGCAAGTTGGGAACACGTAAGACCACTGAGAAGCGGATTACAGTAGTCAAGGCGAGAGAGGTCAGCAGCATGGACAAGCAGCTTTACCAAATCAGGTAAAGGGTTGGATAGGGTCAAATGCGCGCAATGTTTTTGAGATGGAAGCATCAGGATTTGGCGATTAATTGGATATGAGGGGTGAAGGAGAGGTCAGAGTCAAAGAGAACACCTAGACAGCGAGCCTTAGAGGTAGAGCAGATGGAAGCGCCATTAACTTGAAGGGATACAGACAAGGTTGTAGCAACACTTGAGGGAGGGAAGACCAGAAGTCCTACTTTGGACAGGTTCAGTTTAAGGAAATGAGCAGCCATCCAATTGAAAATAGCAGAGAGGCAGTCAGAGACACAAGTCAAGAGGGGTGGTGATAAATTTGCGTGTCATCTGCATAGAAATAATACTGGAAGCTGAAGGAGCTGATGAGTTTACCAAAGGAGGCAGTGTAGTTTGAGAACAATAGGGGACCAAGGACAGACCTTTGGGTAACACCAACAGAGAGGGATTGGGGAGCAGAGGCAAAGCCAGAGGAAGAAACACTGAATGAGAGCTGGGAGAAGTAGGAAGAGCACCAGAAGAGAGCAGTATCTCATAGACCGAGATTACGTAGGATGAGAAGAAGCTGTTGATAATCAACAGTGTCAAAAGCAGCAGAAAGGTCGAGTAGAATTAGGATAGAGTAGTGGCCATGGGATTTAGCAGTGATAAGATCATTGTATACTTTGGTCACAGCTGTTTCAACAGAGTGATGAGCGCAGAATCCAGATTGAAGCGGGTCAAACAGACAGTTGGATTTGAGGAAGTGTGTCAATCTCGCATACACAACTCGCTCAATGATCTTGTAGACAAAGGCCAAGAGCAAGATGGGGCTGTAGTTGGACAGGGAATTAGGGTCAAGGTTGGGCATTTTCAGAATCAGGGTTATGGTTGCATGTTTGAAGAGTAGAGGAAATGTGCCAGAGGAGATGGAGAGATTGAAAATTTTTGTGAGATGCAGTGCAAGAGAAGAAGACAAAGTGCGTATGAGATACGAGGGAATAGGATCAAGGGAACAGGTGGTGGGATGGGAGGAATGGAGCAGAGCAGAAACCTCTTCTGCTGTAGCAGGTGCAAATCAAGGTAGGACAGCTGAGTGAGTGTGGGTAGGGGAAAAGTTCGTAATTGATGGAGAGAGATGAGAGATTGTATAAATCTTCTCAGTGAAGTGAGTTGCAAAGTTTGTTGGGGTCAAGTTGGTAGGAAGAGGAGGCACGACAGGGCGAAGAAGAGTTAAAAGCATGAAACAGTTGTTTGGGCTCGTGGGAGAGTGTGGTTATGAGTGTATTAAAGTAGTTTTCTTTTGAAGAGGAAAGAGCTAGACTGTAGGAGAGCAGCATAAATTTAAAGTAGAGGAAGTCAGACGCAGAGTGAGACTTTCTCGAGCAGCATTCTGCAGTTCTGGAACATTTTTGAAGGTATCGGGTCAGCTTGGTGTGCTAGGGCTGTAATTGGGACCTTTAGTGCATTTAAGTGTAGGAGGTGCCATGATGTCTAGTTGAGAGGAGAGAGTGGAGTTGTAGAGGGAGGTTGCAGTGTTAGGGCAGGTGAGATTTGAGATTGGTGAAAGGAGACTTTGGAGGTTGGTGGAGAATTACTGTACGGCAAGACAATGGAGGATTTTGCAAGACTGATGTGGTAAGGTTGAGGTACTTTGGGTTCGGGTTATGCAGATGTCAATGGACAGCAGATGGTGGTCAGATAGAGGAAAAGGAGCATTGGAGAGATTAGCGGTGGTACAGAGATTGGTGACAGATGAGGTCAAGAGTGTTTCCTGTTCTACGAGTTGATGAATTAGACCACTGTGTGAGTCCAACGGAGGAGGTTATAGAGAGCAGACGATAGGCATCAGGGCAGTTAGGGTTGTTGATTGGGATATTAAAGTCCTCAAGAATGAGGGAAGGAGTGCAAGAGGAGAGGAAATGGGGTAGCCAGGAAGAAATGATAAATGATGGCAATTCTTAGAGGAGTAGGTTAAAAAAGACGGACGATGTGAACTTCAAAGGAAGTAAAGGATAGGGCAGGGAGGATAGGTTGAAAAGTACATTGAGGGGAGAGAAGGATGCCTACACCACCTCCTTTACAGTTTTTTAGTCTGGGAGTGTGGGAGAATTGTAGCCCACCATAATCTAAGGAAGCAGAAGTAGCAGTATCAGAGGGGGACCGCCAGGTCTCAGTGAGTGCAATAAATGTGAAAGAATTTGATATGAAGAGGTCATGTATGGCTGATGATTTAATATTTTTGCAGATGGAGCGGGCGTTCCAGAGTGCACACTGAATATTGGTAGGTGGGGATAGACGTCATGGTAAACCTGAACAATTATAACTCAAATCTGCAATATTTTTTCATTCACGCACTGGTAGCAGCCAAAATCTCAATAGCTAGAGCTTGGAGTATTAATACTCTCCCAAACTGGAAAACTGGAAAAGAGCAACTTACCCTTCAGTTGACAATAGAAGGAGGGTTGAATAGGAATTTGAAGAAAACAACTTTTGATACACCTTTGGATGATCAAGTTATCCCTTGTAGAGTAAGAGAAGAAAAGAAAAAAAATGAGGAGAGAGAGGGAGTAGGAAGGGAAAGAAATTTTTTTTTTCTTCTCTCTTCTTTTGTCTCTCTTCTTTTATTCCTCGACAATATCTTAACGTTTACTTTGTTATAAAAGAAAATTCACTGTCCTAGTGTAGACCTAGGCCGAAAGGGCTAGGATGGAGCAACTCACCGTTTTATATATATTATTGTTTTGTATAGTATTGTTTTTTTTAATGATTATTGTGTATTTCCTTCTTTTATTAATTTATTTAGTATGTGTTTTTTTCTGTATTGTTCATTTATTTTTTAAAAAATAAAAAAATAAAAAATAAAAGAAATGGAACGTTTTAGTTATAAAGAAAGGTTAAAGGGACACTGTAGTCACTGTAACCACTTTGTCTCTTTGAATTGGTTATAGTGCCTAAGGTGGCCTGGCACTGTCCCTCCATTCAGTGTTGCACCATGTTTGTGCAGTATGCCACAAAATAAGAGTCCCTGGCCACCCACAGTCCGGCCCTTTCTGTATGTGTAGCTAAGGCAGAGATTACACACTTCCTTGTTGTCATACCCATTCATACTGTCAGTTGGAGCTCTGACAGGTTAAAAGCAGTCAGCTGACACTCTCAATCACAGCTGCCCATTGCCTCTCAGGGTAATACTTCCTTATTAGCCAAAGCTGCACAGAGGGAATAGACTGTCGTTGACTCTTGTTTAGCATTAAAACATTACAACATTAAAAACTGTTTAATGCTGAAAGAAATGATGGTACCAGGGGACTCCAGACACTATAACCAGTTTAATGAGATGAAGCAGATACAGTGCCTATGGTGTCCCTTTAACAAATGTAAATCTGTTTATTTTAGAAATATGGTGCCTCAGAGGGGATGTGATAGCATTATACAAATATTTTCAGGGCCAATACAAACCATTGTCTAGAAAACCAATATCTAGGAGAACTGTATTGTCGGTGTGTGTGAGTGTATAACAGAGCTTCACAGCCAGGGCCGGTGCAAGAATTTTTGCCGCTCTAGGCAAAAAAATAATTTGCCACCCCCACATTTTGACATCCCAATGTCCTACCCATATCATCCACGCATGTCATGACATCTTATATGTCCAATTCCTGAATGCCTTCTTCTACAGCAGTCTGGCCGAATGGACATTATTATGGCTCTTTGCTGGTTCTGCCTGGGCTCATTTGCCCAGACTCCAGTAAAGCTGCCCTGTGCTATGCATTGACGTGTACAGCCCATTTCATTAGGGTGTGCATCGGAAAATTCTTCTTCTATGCAATTTTTTTATGTTATGTAATGTTAATATTTATTAAAATGTTAAGTGGATGTGTGGTGTGGGTGTGTGTCTTGTGTAGGGTGGCTGTAAGTGCTGTAGTTATGTGTGAGGTGTGTTGTGGCTTTCTGTGTGTAATGTATTAGGCTGTTTGTATAGCTGTGAGTGATAAGTTTGGGCCGCTATGAGTGTTGTGTGTGGCAATGTGTTATGTGTGGGAATTACATGTGGGAAGTAGTGGAAGATAGGAGGGGGGACGTTTAGGTGCTGTTGTGATGGTTTAAAGGCATCAGTGGTTAAGGGCAGTTGTGGATGTTAGGAGTTATAGTGGGGGATAGAGGCTGTAGTGGACAGGTATGGACAGTAGTGCGGGATAGGGGGCGTAGTTGAGTTAAAAGACAGTAATAGGGAGTTAGGGGTTCTTGTGGGGGGTTAGAAGCTGAAGTGAGGGTTACAAGATGTTGTGTGGGCATAAGGGGTTGTAATAGGGGTCGGGCAGTAGTGAGGAGTTAGAGGCTAAAGTGTGGAGTTATGAGCTCTAATGCATGGTTAGAGGCTGAAGTGGGGGTTATGGCCTGTAGTGGGGGGTTATGGGCAGTATGGTGGGTTAGTAGCATTAGTGTGGGTTAGGACCTGCAGGTTAGGGGCAGCAGTGGAGGGATTATAGGCTGAAGTGGTGGGGGCAGGGCCGCCATCAGGGGGTGACAACCATGACCCCACGTGTAGCGGCGGAACTTGCACCGGCGCCCGCACGCTGATGGGGCTCACCAGGTGGCCCACACACTTAGGGCCACCCGATGGGCCCTATATCTTCAGGGGCCCGGTCAGGGCTGTGGTCGTGCAATAGCGCAACCGGGCACCTTTCAAAAAAAAAAAAGAGCTGTGTGAATGTATGCATGTATGTCTATTTATTTATGTATGTCTGTCTGTGTATGTGTGTATGCATGTCTGTATGTATGTCTATGTATGTCTGTATGTATGGATGTCTGTATGTATGTATGTCTGTCTGTATGTATGTCTATGTATGTATGTATGTCTGTATGTCTATGTATGTCTGTATGCCTCTGTATGTATGTATGTCTGTGTGCATGTATGTCTGTCTGTATGTATGTATGTCTATGTATGTATGTCTATGTATGTATGTCTGTATTCATGTCTGTATGTATGTATGTATGTATGTCTGTCTGTCTGTATGTATGTATGCATATCTGTATTTTTTTTAAATAGTGATATTTTGTTACCCTTTCACCCCTAAAACCAAGTCACTGGCATTCAAGTCAACTGAAGTTTCTCAGAACTACCCCTGGCTGCACACACACTGAGATCCTTACATTTAGTGTCCCTCTTTGCCCATTTGAAAAGTTATGAGGTATAGAGCAGTGTGTGTGGTGGCTGTGAGTGTTAAGGGGGTAGTGAATGTGATTTGTGTGTGTGGTGACATGCATGATATCACTGATATAAACCAATAACCCACAAAATATTCCATTGAAAAGAATGAAAAAAGAAAAACACAAGCAAATCAATAAACACAGTATATAAAGCCTAAGGTTTCAGCTAGTGGTATGTCATTAAATGAACACTCAAACTACCATAACCACTACAATCTGCTCTAGTCATTATGATGACAGGATTGCCCCAATGCTGGACTACCAAGGAGCTATAAAATATGACAAACTATTTGTACCTGGATGGAATTCAGAAATATTCTTCATTCCTCTGGTGGATTCCACAGAACTTACAACAATGTCCTCATCCTGCAAACAAAGTAAAAAAAAATGTATATAAAAATTATGTCTGTATGGGGCATTATGTCCACATATCTTGAATCATATAAAGCATTTGTACTATACATGGAATTGCAGATTGGGTGCAAAAAAGAAGCCTTCTTAAACCTCTTTCTTCTCAAATGCTAGAATTCTGCCCAGCAGTCTGACCCACAAAGGCTTCTGTACAGTATTGGATGGGTGTTGGCATTTACTGAATTTCTGCACATTTCTTTATTTCAAAGCAAATGTATTTTCTGTTGCAACAAACAAACATCAAAAGATTGTGCAAAGTCATAATAGAAGACATATGTAGACAACATAAGGAGTTAGGCCAAAGGAATACATCCGCCCAAGGAGAAGAAGGTATACAATAGAATGATGCACCAGTGGAAATATTGATTCATTACATAATGACAAATATACCCCTAGCAGAGGCAAGAAGCAATTATTCTTCAGTGAGGACTGTCATTCTGCTCCAATATCCCATTAAATTGTTTTTAATTGGACATTGATTTAGCCAAATATTTCAGGACTTCAAGACAAAAGTTATTCTTTGAAGATACACCTGCAGATGTTTATTCTAATACTGAAAATGACATATTATCTTCGAATCACTTTTGTTTAAGAAATACAAGTTCTTTTAGTCCTCCTGCCAATCAACATTGTGTTGAAACTGTGATAAACCTCATAAAGAGGGACATTGACTTAAAATATTACTTAAAATAGGTCATAAATAGTTTAGCCCCGATCTGTCAAAGGCAGAAAGACTGATCCTTGTAATACTCCTGCAGATTATTTAATTATCAAATCGGCAGGCAACGTATGGCCAAACAGGACTATAGGAATGAAATATATGGTCAACTTGGTGATACCAATGCATAAATTATGACAGATGTTACTGTAGATTGAAGGTCAGATGTTATTGAGGATTGAAGGTTTCATTAGGGAAATGCTCAATCAAACTTGTGACAATAGTTTAACTAATGATCTCAAAAAATCTTATTAAAGATGAAAAACTAAAGACTATTACATTATTTTTTATATTCTGCCTAAAATTTATTTGTGTGAAATGCCATTCACCCTTGACAAAGGCCCACAAAGCCCATACTTTGGGTCCTCTGGTATATTGTAATACTGTATATAAATATGTATGTGCGCTATAATAGGTAAAACTCACAAGAAGGCTGCTGATAGCTCGCCCAAGGGGGGATGGGATAATTCATGCAGTTTGGTGTGCAGTGAGCATTCTTATTGATAGTTATTCTTCATTTTGACCACATGGAGTAGTGGTTAACCCCTTAAGGACACACGACGTGTGACATGTCATGATTCCCCTTTATTCCAGAAGTTTGGTCCTTAAGGGGTTAAACCCCACTGCACCCACTACATATCAATAGTGTCTGTACTAGGTTGAGTGCTCCCACACATACTGACATTGGCTAATTAAGGGAATAGTCTCAGAAGAAGATAAGGTTACATGACAGATACATTTTTGAGTAGTGGTTAACCAGCTGAGTTGTTATGTGAGGCCAAAACAAAATGAAAAAAGAAAAAAAAGCTTCAATGCCGAGCAAGAGGGATCTTTAGAATGACAAAAGTAAATATTTGTACTGAGAGAATAAATCAACAAGTTAGATGAATCCAGCACATTAGGAGATAGGAGGCATTAACCCTTGTTGACGAAAGTCCATCCTAATGCCATACATTAGGATCCACTTTAAGAAGATATTTAAAAGTCAGACTGCTAAAAGCCAGATATTTACATTTGCATATCTGGAATGTTAATTCTGTAATTCGTTAATTAAAGGGACACTCCACTGCCCAAATATAAAATAAAAATCACAATTTAGTAGATATACCACAAATGAAAACATTCATGCATTTAATTAACTTTTTTTTCATTGGGTATATATCTAAAAACAGCTTGCAAAAACGTCAATCTCGTCTGCTACCTTTGCAAGCTTTCCCCTTCTAACTCCAGACTTTCTGTGGCTGTCCAATCACAGACTTCCCAATGCAGCACAATGAGAAGTTTTTGTAAGTCGGGTGCTCTGGGTAATTGCTGAGGTCAGCTGCATTGAGCTAACAAAACCAGGAAGTAACATTACCTTTTGTCTGCTTGAAAGTCAGTGGGGTGTAACCAGTATAATGTATAAAAATGTAAATTTCTATTGAAATATGCACTTTTTGCAAACTGAAAAAAAGAGGAAACACTTCACATATAAAGCTTTCAGCAAGCTAAAGTTGTTTAGGGGTCTGGAGTGACCCTTTAAGGGGGAGTGACCCTTTAAGGGGACACATTTCACAATCTAAGGACAGGAAACCACTATAAGATGAAAGATTATGGTTTCTTTCCAAGCAACGTATGTAGCTTATTTATTAAAATGTTCCTGTGACCTTATCTACATTGGGGAAACTACTCAAAAGCTGAATAAAATATTTAATAATCATAAGTTTGATGTAAGAACAAAGAAAGCATTTCTCCAAATACCAGCACACTGTGCAAAACGTTCACAATATCTCCCAGCTGTTTTTCCAAACTATCACTAAAATTAAGAAGCCAAGAAGGGGAGGTAATATATAATTGCTAGAGAAAAAAAAATGTATTGAATAAAAACTTGTTTGTGATAGTGTGTTGCCTAGAGGACTTAACAGGGATTATGTAAGTAATTTCATTTGACTTAGCACTCCTATACTTTATATTTCTCTTTTCTCATCTATACATTATACATTATACCGCTAGTAGGGGCATGTTTAGTAAACAGTGAGCAGCCCGTACCACGCGAGTGGGGCTTCTAACCTGAAGGGGGGACCTAATGTCCTCCCCCTGGCCCCCACCCCTGAATGGTGGGTGGGAGCCCTAAATTAGAATAAGGGGGGGACCTAATGTCCTACCCCCTGGCCCCCACCCCTGAAAGACACACTGACAGACACAAACACACACACATACTTACAGACACATACATACTCACTGACAGACACACACACACACCGACAGACAGACACACACACACACATACTCACTGACAGACAGACACACACACACAAACTCACTGACAGACATACACACACACAGATAGACACACACACACAGACACACCGACAGGCAGACACACACACACACACACATACTCACTGACAGACACACACATACTCACTAACAGACACACTGATAGAAGCACACTGACACACACACACATACTCACTGACAGACACACACACTGACAGACACACACACAGTCGCTGATAGACACACACAGACACACTCACTGACAGAGACACACAGACACACATACTCACAGACAGACACAGACACACACACATACTCACTGACAGACAGACACATAAATACAGACACAGTGACAGACACAGTCACACACACATACTTACAGACACATACTCACAGACACACACACAGACACACCGACAGACATACACACACATACTCACTGACAGACACACACATACTCACTGACAGACACACACAAAGTCACTGACAGACACACACACACACAGATAGAGACACACACACACACTCACTGACCGACACACACACACAGACACACCGACAGACAGACACGCACACACATACTCACTGACAGACACACACATACTCACTAACAGAAGCACTGATAGACGCACACTGACAGACACACACACATACTCACTGACAGACACACACACTGACAGACACACACATACTCACTGACAGACACACACTTACACATTCTTGCACACACACACTTTTTTATTGCTCCTTACCTTATGGAGCCGATGTGGGGCATCTCCCTGGGGTCCTTCCTGCTCCTCACCGCTCCCTTGTGCGGTTTAGTGATGCAGAGTGCCGGAATATGACATCATATTCCGGCGCCCGGCTTCACTTCAGTCGGCGCACGCGAGGGAGCAGTGAGGAGCTGGAACACGGAGCTCCCTCGCGGCCATCCTCCCCGGCCAGGCAAATGTTAGCAGAGTAGGCACCTACAATGTGGGGAAAGCAGGTGCATTTTCTGCTATAACACCAAGCATGTACTCGCGGCTCGCCGGGCCGCAAAGATGGTACTTGTGGGCCGCGATTTTGAAATGCTTGGTTTCGAGCATTTAGTATGAAAATCAAGTGGGATTTAGTTAAAAAAAATTGTGATTTCCAGTGAAGATTAAAGGGACACTATAGATACCAGAACAACTACAGCTTAAAGTAGTTTTGGTGAGTATAATCATTCCCTCGTGGTATTTTCATGCAAACACTGCCTTTTCAGGCAAGATCCAAGGTGCAAACTGCGCAAAGAGGACTCTGGGACAATGCAGCACATAGTAGCTGGGTGCAAGATATTAGCAGGGACAACATACACAGAGAGAGGTAACCAAGTTGCTGGGATTGTGTACCAAAATATCTGCACAGAATATGAGCTGGATCTGCCTAAGTTTAGATAGGAGATACTATAAAAAGTAGTAGAGAATGACAGGTCTAAGATCCTGTGGGACTTTCATATCCAGACAGAGAAGCAAGTAGTGACCAACCAATCTGACATTGTAGTGGTAGACAAGTAACAGAAGACTAATGTGGTGGTAAATGTGGCAATACCCAGTAACTATAACATCAGGAAGAAGGAACATATGAACGTGGACAAATACCAAAGACTGAAAGAAGAGCAAGAAAGGATGTGGAAAGTGAAGGCAGTAGTAGTCCCATTTGTGATAGGAGCACTCAGGGCTGTGACCCCCAAGTTGGGGGAGTGGAGTCAACAGATTCTAGGTGGGATATCTGAGATCGCTGTCCAGAAGGGTGCAGTTCTAGGAACAGCTAAGATACTGCGCAGAGCCCTCAGACTCCCAGGACCCAAGAATGAGGAATATATACCAGCCAGGAAGATAGGCATGTCATAAACTCTTCTTCTGCAACTAAATTGTAATTACAAGAACAATGTATCTTATTTACACCAACTGATATCTAAACACAGTTACATAGTTATATAGTTACATGGCTGAAAAGAGACTTGCCTCCATCAAGTTCAGCCTTCCTCACATTCATTTTTTGCTGTTGATCCAAAAGAAGGCAAAAAAAACAAAACACAGTTTGAAGCACTTCCAATTTTGCAACAAACTAGGAAAACAATTCCTTCTTGACCCCAAATGGCAGTCAGATTTATCCTTGGAACAAGAAGCTATTACCCTACATTGAGAAATTATATCCTTGAATATTCTATTTTTGCAAGGATGAATCTAGTTGCTGTTTGAACATCCGTATGGAATCTGATAAAACCACTTCTTCAGGTAGAGAATTCCACATCCTTATTGTTCTTACAGTAAAAAAAAACCTTTTCTTTGCCTTAGACAAAATCTTCTTTCTTCTAGTCTAAACACATGACCTCGTGTCCTACGTAAAGTCCGGTTTGTGAATTGATTTCCACACAATGGTTTGTATTGGCCGTGAATATATTTGTATAATGTTATCATATCCCCTCTCAGGCGACAGTTATTGTAGTTTAAAGGAACGCTTCAAACACCTAACGCAGTTTAGTATGGTATGTTCCTTTTTTTTGTTTTTGTTTATTTGGGCAGTGGTTGTCTTTAATATGACACATTACTATGACTTTTTTTTCTATGGAGCTCTGTTATACATTCAGACACACCAACGATATAGAGCTCCTAGAAAAGAGGGACAGAGGGATTTGGGCTCAAAGTAGGGACTGTCCCTCCTAAATAGGGACACTTGGGAAGTATGGGTATATCTAAATTCAGTTCCTCAGTAAAATACTATTCGGATCTTGGCATTCCATGATGATGAAATTCTGATTTGCTTGATTTTAGCAATAACATTCATTCATTTGTTATTTTGCATTAATTATGCTATACATGACTACTATATCCCTGATTCAGTTATTTATTGAATTGCACACCTTTCTTAGTTTGGTCTCCACAGCAGTTTTGACCTATGACAGGTGCTGATCGGACGTCAGGTTTTGTATATAAATTGGTAATACCTTTGCCAAGTTTAAGAAATATAGCATTAAGCAGGATGGCACTTATCCTTACGCTGCATATGGCAATAGTATTGACATTTACAAAGTTCTCACCTGTTTCTCACGTGTAGTTCTTCTGTCCAGTCTAAACTGTTTTCTTCTTGCTTCCCAGTGATACGCCGACATGGTGCTTCTTTAAGACGTATAACTCCACACAATTCTTTCATAAATGGGGAAAAACAAAAAATTACTTGTGTGCAAAATTCAACCAAAATATAGTATAATATGGTTACAGGCAGCTAGGGAATAGTTTACAACAGAATGCAGGAATAAATTATTACCCCCGGTATTCAGAACTCTTGAATAAAATGAGCTTGCATTTATTAAGCAAACGTCTCTCCTTTCTCTGACCGAAAGGCTGATCTCACAGAAACCTGAAAATTGACACCACAATGCTGTATCCAGGCAACATACAACAATGTAACCTCTTCAACAGAACAATGAATGATAAGCAGTGCTAACAAAACCATAAGTTTACAAAATTCTCAGGCTGATTTACTAAAGAGCAAATTCAAAAGGAATTCCAAATTTTAAGGCCACAGTAGCGGAAGTGAAAGCATAGATGATTTTGAGAATTTTCCAATTTGACTATTTTGACCTTAAATTTAAAATTCACTTTGAATTCTCACTTTGGTATATGAGATGTGTATATATATATATATATATATATATATATATATTTAGCTAGCAACATTTTTTTTTGTTTCCTGTTCTTTATTGACTGGACCATATTTAGCATTTTGGCATGTATTTGTTCCTCCTTAATTTTAATAAAAAAAGTTTGCTTCTATTAAGTAAATATCTCTGCTTTATCTGTGTGACAGGATGATCTCCTATTATCCTTGAAATTGACACCACAATGCTGTCTCCAGACAACATACAACAATTTTAAAACTTCAACAGAGCAGTGACTGGAGAACAATACTAACAAACATTGGCAGTGTCTTTGTTTTTTATCACAATAATGTTTTTTTTCCTAGTTTTCTGTGCCTTAGTGATCGTAGCATTTCCAGCATTTTTGTTATGTATTTGTTCCCCTTTAAGTCTGACTTTGTCACTTTTATTTTTATTTACTTTTTCCATTAATAAAATGTAAAACATGTAAAGCATGGGATACAGAACAAAGAAAGGGGTAGGGATTAGACATCAAATTCAATTCTTTTCAACAGCCAGCATTCTCGAGGCATAGCAATGCCTTTCCATGATTCTGTGATATGTTGGGTATAACTCTTTGTTCTCTTACGTCCTCTCCTTGGAGGTTATCTTGCCCAGTGTGATTTCTGTTAAATGAAGCTGTTAGCTAATAAGTGTCATAAGTCTTAACTATGTACAGTATGGTGTACAGTATACAGTATCATCCTTTTGTTCGTTACCGCCCTTAAAGGATTTTCTTCCACCCTGACACCTCTTTTGCTTGTCTTGGCATCCCCTTTGTTTGACCCCCTCTCACCATTTCCTTCCCCATATACCTCTTTTTTGTTTTCTTCCATACTTCATAGATCGTGTCTTTCCTCATTTCCAGGTCCCATCTCCCTGCCTAGATACTTGTCCAACCACGTTTTTGCTGCTATCCTAGGAGTTGTCTTGCAACATTGTGTGTGAAGCTTTGTTTCGTAATCAATATTTAGTGTGATTTGGCATATCATTGCCTTTTTCGTCGGTATCGCTACCTGTTTCCAGGATGTCGCTATCAATGTGTTTGCTGCAATCAGTATGTGGTACATCAGCAATGCTTGGGGTCTTTTGAACTCAGGGAGTGTCATAAATAACAACCCACACTCCGGTTGGAGGTCGATCTGGATTTGTAATGCTTCCTTGATGATTCCCTCCACCTCTTCCTGGCATGGCCTAATAGATCTGCATGCCCACCATATGTGGTACACTGTGGTACACATGCCTTTTGCCATTGTTCTGTAGTGAAGGTTTTATTTATGTCCTCCTGCCATGCGGCCCTGAACCTATGTCATCTCTGTCGAGGGGTTGTCATTTAGGGTCGCGTACATGCATGAAAGTAATTTTTGGGTAATAGTCCTGGGTTCACAAATTTTTGTGATGTGATCCAGAGGCTTCAAGACAGCCTCGTTTGTCTCGTTTTCTAACATGGATTTTAACATTAATTGGTATACTCTTTGTAGTCCAGGATAGTGCATTAGTTTGTTAGATTGGTATAGGTGTCTGACCTTTGTGCACCCATTCTGCACCCATTGTCGGTGATCGAGTGAGGGGTTAGCTAGGTGCAGGCTATAGATTGGGGTTGACATTAACCATTGTTTCGTGCATCCCAATTGGAGATTGGCATCATCCCAAGTCTTAAGGAGCAGAGACTTAATCTCAGTCATGTCTGGTGCTTTGGGGCGTAGTTCATAAGGTATCCAGAAAAGGTATTTCATGCCCTGGGGGCATGACCAAGCCGATTCGTCCTCCACCCATTGTGGCCTATCATCCGTTTTGTGTACCAAGACAGCCATGGACAGTAGTGCCGCCCTATAGTACAGCCTCACGTCAGGCATCCCCAATCCCCCTCTGTCCACTGTCCTACATAATATGTTCGTAGCTCTTATTTTTAGGTTTGCCCACACGAAACGTGTAAAGATCTGCTGAAGCATTTAAGCATTATCTTTTTAAAAAGTTATAAAGTCTTGGGCTGAAAAAATAGATCCTCTCCAAATAAATAGAAGGTCATCTGTGTATCTGGAGTAGGATACCAGGCTTTCCACCCAGTCATGCCCCCTCCAGACTGATTGATCTTTCTACTCTGCCATGTAGAGGTTGGCATAACTGGGTGCAAATATCATACAACAAAAAAAGGAAATAAAATCATATACTTATCAAATAAACAGAAGACAGCTTCCCACGAACACCTCCCAAATAGTGTTATGATTATACAAGCCAAAAGATACAATACACGTGGGAATAAGCTGAAAAGTCTAAAAAATTTAATATAAATAGAGCATAATACAGTTGATGGAAATATAATATTCCCTGCTAAAAATTGCACTCACAGGATGTTGGAGTTATATGCACTCAAATGGTGCCCCCCTCTATGTTTTTTGGGGGGCTAGTATCTCCCTCTAAGATTCTGGTATCATCCAATATCAGGAACCATGCAGGACTCCGACAAGTAGATGAGTAGAAAATAAGTTTATTTGTATATAAAAAGATAATAAAAGGAAATTTGGTCTTGCGCGTTTCGTCCGCTATGGGACTTCCTCAGAGACCAATATACAATAAAAAAAAATAATATCAGTAATGCTCCCAAAAAGGCCTCTGAGGAAGTATATTGGTCTCTGAGGAAGTCCCGTAGCAGACGAAACGCGTAAGACCAAATTTCCTTTTATCTTTTTACCGGGGGTGGCACAGATTTGCAGGAATCTGTGTATTCGTCCGCCATGCAAGCTGCTTTGGGTAGGGTAAGGGGCCTCCGATAACCGATCCTGATGTCAGGGTTGAGGGCATTAAAACATTGTGCCACCCATAAGTGCCAGACAGGGGATTTGAACTGTATATCTTGCCTCTGGGCCACACATCCTTTTTCTGTATCATGTTTATCCTTGTCTTGTCTCCAGCACTGGATTTTACCTCGGGCTGCTCCTATCAATCTCAGCCCACCTGAAGCTGATGCCCAATTAGCCAGGTATAAGACACTGCCTCTCCCTGCAATATCCTGCACAACCCCCATCCACAGACTCACAGGCCAGGTGGTTCTTTATCTGGTCACCTTGGTCTGTGTTTATTTGCAAGGGTGAGCGTATATCTACCCATTGTACAGCGCTACGGAATTTGTTGGCGCTATATAAATAATAAAATAATAATAATATCTCTGCATACCGGATGGACTCCCAACTAAGGTAAGCCCTGACAAGCAGGACATCTTCTCCAGATACGTCTTGGCATCCATGGACCCAGTGGGAGGCTGTTCGGTGGAGGCAACAGGCCCATTTGGTATAATTGTTATTTACTTACTTTTTATTTCTTGGAACCACTGGCGGTACGCTTCTGAGGTTACAGCACACCGGGTGAGCAATGCCTCTTTGACAGCGGTGTAGTGCTGTATTTCTTTGTCAGGGATCGCCCAGAATGCTTCTGCTGCCCATTCGTCAGTGGGTACCTTGTGCAGTGCGCACTGCCTCTCAAAATCCACAAGGTACCTATCTATTTCACCTTCTGTTTCCTGAAAGTTTTTTAATACGGCAAAAATCAAGTTTTTACGTCCCAAAGGTGTCACTGTACTCTCTGCTGTACTCAAACTCTTGTTTGACCCTGTCTTCTGTGTCTACGGCTGCCATCACTTGCATCACAATGTCAGTGGGAGGGTTTGGACCAAACAGGGTTAGTCGCAACTGAATGGTTCGCATTCTTTCGTCTTCCTCCGCATTCGGTAAAATAAGCAGTTTAGTTTGCCATGATGGACAAGATGTTTGCTCAGTGATGTGGATTGTATCTCATGCCTAAACAAGAGGTGAAAAAATAAATAAAATAAAGATGGCTAAGGGACAGCCAATAAATGTTGATTTTATTTACAGATCAAGTGAGAAGTGACTAAGAGAGGGAATAAAAGGAGGAGTGGTAAAAAAGACTGATTATCTCTTTTTCAGTGGGCAAACATTCAAAATCAGCAGGGGATCAAATACTTTTTTCCCTCACTGTATTTATTCCCCAGATCATCACCACCATTTATATACTAGATGTATGCAAACCCTTCTAGCGGTGAAAAGTTGTCTTGAGGGGTAGATGTCATCAACCATAATGAAAACCAATAACGTTTCAAAACTACTTTACCCTTTCATTAATTACAAATGAAGATAATAGGAGGAGGGTCAACAAACATGTCAAACTTCCACTAACAGGGTAAGATCCCTCAGATTGTCCTAGTGAAATTGCAGAACCAGATGTTCACTTTAGGTCACAATATTTCAAACATTAGTCTTACTATAACTTAGGTAATGGACATGCACTTGACTGGACAACAATGAACAATAATAAGATTTCCTACACTAATGTAGGTTTAGATCAGTAATTTTCTCCCAATATATTGATGAGACAGGTCTTGACATCAGGGACAATCCCCTTCTATATATTAGGCATAGAACATGGTTGGATTAAAGCTACACTTTGACAGGCTCTGGTCCTGTCAAGAACTCTTGCTCTACCTTACTAAAATGTATTTGGAGGCTCCCTTATTTGGAATATTCCTGCACTAAAATTCATACAAATCTACGTAAAAAAATTGTTTTCTCCCAGTTGTTTGTCAATGCATTGGTAAAAAAAAAAAAAAAATTGATACTGAATAGCAAGGCATTGACTGACAAGCAGGTCCTTCTGCTCATCCAAGCATAGCAACAACTGCACATGCACTGTGGTTGCTATG